AAATGTAAGAACAATGAAGTCCAATACAATTATTGAACATTTTACAAATGAGGTATTATAGTATTTTACCAAGTAACTCTGTAATGTACTAAATATCGGTTGCCCTCAACTGTGTTCTCCATGACTATAAAACAATGCATTTTATGTCAATGATAATAAGTGTTACTGAGAGATAATTAGAAAGGACATTAATGAGATGGTGGATTATGAAACGATTGTTACATATGTTGGTATATACATTATCCAAAACTATATATATATATATATATATATATATATATATATATATATATATGCACATAAAGAAGTATTTGATAAACATCATGTTTAAAAAGTGTTTGTCGGTGTAGATAACTTTCTTGTTTTGTTTTATTTTGTGTTTTTATCTCCCGATAAATATAGATTGAAAGAGGTAGGTGATCAATCGTTTTATGCATAGTTACTAGGGAATTCTACATAATGCAAATACTTGTTAGAATGTTACTGTATACCAATCATTATGAATATATATTATGTCTTATACATAATTAAGCATTTATAATGCTGGTATCAGCTGTTAATAATGTTTAATAAAGAATAACAAAGTAAAGAATTAGTGTGGATTAAAAGAGAATTAATAAATGATCTATTATGTATAGATGTAATATAGTTATGGATTCATTTGGAATAATGAAATTGATTTTCTAACTGTAAATGTTTAAAACTTATTCATTTTATGATTATCAGAATTAAAATGATTGAATTTATATAGAAGAATATCATGAAATGGTAATTCTGATCAGTAATTCAGTTATAACTTTTTAGCCAGTCGGTTAAAACGTAAGACTAGGCACATATATGCATCAGTTTACATTGCTCTATACCTCATTAGCACAATAAAATGAACATCGAATTCATAAAGGGAGTCACTTACATGATAGAAATGTATAAAAGAAAGATTGCATATGAAGATATAGTACAGGAAGAAAGAATTAGTTCATAGAAAGAAAGATATGAACCGATTTTAATCTCTTAGTTTAAGGGAAGACAGTTAGTGTATACACCTACACCATTGTGATCGTTTCTGTGCAATGTCACCAAGAGTCTCCAACCATTGATCACGACAATCATGCGGACCCCAATCAAGTAGTCTGCATCTACCAACATGGCTCAGACTAGAAGTTCGTGATTTCATGGACTGATGCCAATTTTGTTTTGGCCGCGCCTTAACTTTCTTCCAATCATCCCCAACACTAGTCAGCATTGTGTGTCGTGGAAATCGTTGTTCAGGTATACGTGACACCTGGACATCTGAATATTCGCAACCTCATCAAATGATTTACCGTCAATTCCTAATACCCTGCGTCTAACCTCATTACTACTTACCCGATGGTCCCAGCAGATGCGAGCAAAATTTATTAGATATATGTGATCAAATACTAGTAACCTACGTCTACTTTTAATGACCACGTTTTGCAGCCGTAAGGTAGAACAGAACGAATTACTGCGCTGTATTGACACCGGTCATTCCTGAAGCAATGAGTTGCATTTAGAGGGGGATAAACATATTTTAAACAGGCTGGCATTGTTGTGATATTGTGACACCGTATTTAGAATACAGAGGATGTTGTTGATTTTTCTGCCAACATACTATGTTAAATTGATGTTATTTTGGGGTCCTGAAGTTGATATGATTTCCGATTTACCCGTTCACATACATAGCTTCCTAGTGGTCAAGATATATTCATTATTATGGTGGAGAAGAGTTGTAACACAAATGGAAGTGTTTGTTGTTTTCTGTTCCCCCAATCACTTAGTCAATCAACTATAGAAAACTATTAGGTCCACAGTGTGGTTAAATATGATGTTAACTAAACAAATAAACAATCAAGATCAAGGTCAACAGAAGAGATTGTCATTCATAGGTGAAACGACAATCCAGATAGCTTACTTCTATTTAAAGTTTTGTGTTGATGATTTTGTCCAGAAAAATGTTGAAAACTTCCCGAGAAAATCTCACTACTCAGAAAATGATACTCTACCAAAATGTCATATTCTTAGAACATTCTTGCCCATAAAAAAGAATAGTCTTTTTCAATCAACTTATATGTAGCTATTTTATTTATTGTAGAGGTAAATTAAAAAGGAAACTGGTTTATAAATCAAACCCAATCACACTCGATTAGAAAAGAGAATGAATGTTAGTAAAAAACGTGATAATTTCTATGTACCAATCTATATATCTGTTTTTTTTTTGTTATATAAGTAGTTGAATGCATTGTAGTTGTTCGACATGATGCAAGTGCTTATCATCATTGACATATTTCATTCATGGGTTTATATTATTATTATTATTATCAGTGCAGGGTTGCGTAGGTAATTAAGTTTTTGATTTAGATCACGAACCGATTGATTTTAGATTCAAAATATGACGAAACGGTCGTCTAATGCTTCCATGTTTTCAATGATGGTTTAAGGTCAATCGATTCATGATCTCAATCAAAAATTTAATCTCTGTTGTCAATCTAATGTTGATCAATTTTGTTCATTGTCTTAATCAAAATCAATTAATTATTATTATTCATTCGATCATAAGATCTATTATCAATCAATTAATGATTTAAAGAAATGATGATAGAGCTTAACATAAAAAAAATACAACATTCCCAAAGTTGTATACTTTTACACAATTCTAAATCTCAGCATATGCTCATTTATATTGTGTAATAAACTATGGAAAAATAAATACACTTGGTATTATTGTTCACTTAAATCTTCCTATTAATGTTTAGGATTGAAATTGATCAGTCTCTTATTGACATATGTGCATTCTGTGCATATTGCCTAGATATTGTCATCTTTGTTGATATGGGAAAAAAATGGTTGCAAAACTCATGTTTTCAAGTTGTGTTTTTTTATTTTTTTAAAAAAAAGTAATTTAAACATGTACAGATGTATTTTAGCCCAGATAAATTGTAACTACCAGTATATTTTAAAGAGAGCAAGAATAAAGATTGATGCAGAATAATAAATGAATTCATTTGATTTCATTCGGTTCTCATCAACTGCTTTATCATTGACATACTTATACATAATCGAGTGATCAAAAATGTATCATGATGTAGTGAAGATTTCAATAGAGTTCAATATGGTCATAAGAAATTGTTTATTTCGGATAAATAAAGTTTGAGAAGGAAAGTTCCAAAACATTGAAATAGTGATTAGAACTCATGGAGTTAACAAACATTAGATGATTATGTAATCAAGTAACTGAAAATAGAATCATGGTAATAAAGGAAGATCAATTAGGAATTAATGAAAAATATCAATGATGTAATTTAAACTTCAGAAAGAGTTGAAATAATGCATGACGTAATAGATTAAAAGGGTGGGGGTGTATAATGTTACCACTATTTCAATGTTTTGAAAATTTCCCTCTCAAACATTGTTTATTTCAAACAAAATTTTTATAACCTTATTGAATTGTATGGGAATCTTCGCTACATCGTGATACACATATATTCATCCTTAATCACCCTCTTATGTATAAATATGTCAATAAGTGTAATAAAATTGATTTTCAAATATTTTAGATTGTAAGCAGTTGATGAGAACCCGACGAAATCAAATGAATTCATTTATTATTCTGCATCAATCTTTGTTCTTGCTCACTTTAAGATAATAAAGGGAACTATATATGTATGAAATCAACATATTTCCTTGATAAATAAGATTTCAAATATTTTCTTATATATATATATATATATATATATATATATATATATATATATATATATATATATATATCATTTATTTTGTATATTTGAAGGGATATAATATTAATATAGTAACACTCAGTGTCGAGTCACCTAGACTGATGGCCACATTGCAACATCGTCGATAGTATTCGATCTGCACTAAATAAGGATTTGACACACATGAACACTAAAATGTATTCAATATTTCAATGCAATTAGTAACTAAGTACTTTTAAGCATATAGTAATAAAGAAAATAATTATGATCATTTAGCTAAACTATTAAAGTGTAAAACAAATCTGAAACGATTCAGTACTTGTTTCTATAAATGTATACTCACAAAAAGGTCAAATATAAGTGTTACATCATAAAATGAATCAAATATCAATTTGAAGTGAATATTCTCATTATAACATTGGTAAATAAAGATGAAACGAATTTTTGTGTGTGTGTTTTACTTATTTTTTAACATTTGTCTCTTGATTCTTACATAACTACTATGGCAACATAGCAACTACTTGATTTTCGAATAATTACTTTGATCATTATGAATCCACTTTCTTCGAATTACTCAATGTTAATTTATAATCGATATGTCATTATAAAATTATAACGTAACGTATCTAGTCGATGAATATTATTTCATTATTGTAAATGATATTAATGTAGAACAATGATGAAAAACTAATTGAAAAGAAATTTCTTCATTCGATTCATTCCTCCTTTATATATATCAGAAAGGGTTTCGAGGATATTATAGTAATCTTAAGAGTTGAAGGCATAAGTTAATTGAAGCTAGACTAGCATGGAAAACCTGAAAACACTGGACGACCGATTTGTCCTATTTTGGGATTCCTCAACAGTGCGCATCCACAATTCCGCATTGAAAGATTCGAACCCAGGACATATCAATCTCGCGCGCTTGTATTTAACCACTAAACCACTGAGCAGTCATCCAACGGTGTTAATGTTTAATTTCAACTAAACCACAAAATTGAGTGACACATCCATCATTGTCATCAATGAGTTACTATCTCACAACTGAACAGATTGAACTTTACTGATCACTTCTTACTAGAACTCCAGGAGTTCCATGCTACGACTAAACGGCCGTCCAGTGGCTTCCAAGTTTTCTATGGTGGTCTAGCTTCCGTTGAATCATGATTTAAACTACTGATATATATATATATATATATATATATATATATATATATATATATATATATATATGCTTATCAAAACAAAATGAAACACATTACTTACATAGTTACTATTGTTATTATTAGATAATAGGATAATTGATATTAATTAATGTTAATATTAATGAATAATAATAATATGAGTATTTGTATGCAGACAGTTTGTGGTTTAATATTACACTGTGGTGTATATATAAGATATGTATTTCTCTGTTTTAACTTTTGTAAATGATTCAAGTGTTCCAATTGATGATCTACACCAATCTACGTCAATCAATTTTTAATTTATTTGGGATAAAAAACCATCTATAAATATATATATATACATGTGTGTGCGTGTGTGTAAGTTATTTCCATGACCTTCAACATCTTGAGCCAATCAAATTAAAGCTTAATCTCTTGGCAACAATATACACCTACGCGTATAGGAGATAACAAAAAAAATTTTTTTTTGTTTTGTTTTTACAGTGAATACAAAAACACAGGAGTATTTATTATAGAGAGAAAAAAACCCATATGGATACACTCATCTAACTATCCATCTATCTATATTCATGATTAAACAAAAAGAAAATATCAAGCAAACATATAGGCCACTTATTCACACAAATTAGTACAATATTCAAATCAGATAAATGATAATGTAGAAAGTTTTCTTCATAAGTCTTCATGTTATTATTACATTTAACCTTAAATGAAAGAATATTTTGCAATAAAATGTTTCTTATAATTATTATAAATAATAGAATAATAATAATAATAATAATAATTATTATTATTACTATAATAAGAGAGGAATGCAGACAGAACATACATTGTTGCCATGAAAAGTACATTCATGCTAAAAATAAACAATTGATGGAAATATATCACATACACGTACACAATATATGTATATATATATATAGATGTATTGCCTAATAATGTGAATCAACTAAAGTGAAACAATATAAATCAGTAAATCTAAACTGACTGGTTTAAAAGCTTGAAGCTTTTTAAAGAGATTTTAAAAAGCTTAAGTTCGACTGCCCTCCAAGTTGTGGATTTCAATGTGTCGACTAACTATTCTTCAATTGTGTAAATATTATAACAAAAATTTCTTGATTAAGATTTGTTTGAACTAAATAATTATGAATTGTAGATGTTATACTAATTCAGTATTATGAAATGATTAAAACATATGGTAATTATGAATATTAACTCCTCCTGGAGTCCCTCCGAGGGCTACTGCCCGTCCCAAGCCCGGATAAAGGAGGAGGGTTGGGCATGGGGTTAGCGTCCCCATCCCGTAGAAAACTAACTTGCTAAAAAAACGCTAACCGGAAAAAAAATTATTCAAACCTAAATTATGAATATTAGAAATCTAAAATCAAAATACGCAGATGACCTAGTCCTCCTATCAAATATACACGAAAAAATGCAGATAAAGACAGCCAGTGTAGCAGTAGTCTCTGCATCCGTAGGCCTCAACATACACAAGGGGAAAACCAAGGTCCTCAAATACAACACAGAGAACAGCGATCCAATCACTCTTGATGGCAAAACTCTGGAAGATGTAGAATCTTTCACATACCTGAGAAGCATCATCGATGAACAAGGAGGATCAGATGCAGATGTAAAGGCGAGAATTAGCAAAGTCAGGGCTGCATTCCTGCAATTGAAGAACATATGGAACGCAAAATAAATGTCTGTCAACCAATATCAAAGTGAGGATCTTCAATACGAATGTCAAGGTAGTCCTACTGTACGGAGCAGAAACTTGGAGAACTACAACAACCACCATCGAGAAGGTACAAATATTTATAAATAGTTGTCTACACAAGATACTCAACATTCATTGGGCAGATACCACCAGTGACAGCCTACTGTGAGAGAGAACAAACCAGCTTCCAATTGAAGAGGAAATCAAGAAGAGACGTTGGAAGTGGATAGGACATAGATTACGGAAGCCATCAAACTACATCACGATATAAGTCATAACTTGGAATCCAGAAGGGAAGTGGAAAAGAGGAAGTCCATTGAACACATTACGTCGGGACATAGAAGCAGATATGAAAAGGGTGAATAACAACTGGAAAGAGGTGGAAAGGATTGCCCAGAACAGGGTTGGATGGTGAGTACTAGTGGGTGACCTATGCTCCTTCACGGGGAGTAACAGGCGATGTGTGGTTGTGTGTGAATATCAAAATACGTTATTTGTTGGAATAATTTCCTTCTTCTTAACTCTTTAAATATAACAAGTGACAAATATGTTGCAATTCATATACCGTTTAAAATAAGTGAAAAATATTGAACTATTGAACAAATATTTATTAACTTTTGAATTTCTGAATAATTACAATTTGAATGTATGTTGAAGAGAAATGTCCCGCTATATTGTACAACTGATGCACAGAATTCCTAACTGTAACGAAATTTATGAAGATGACTTTTAAATATTACAAGTTGTAAGCAGCTGACGAGAACCAACAAAATAAGATGGATTTATTCTATTCTGCTAGAACCTTTGTTCTTGCTCTTTTCGAAATGAAAACATTGTTAGTGATTATTGAAGCATGTGATTGATCTCAAATGGAACAAGACATATCTCCTAGATTTTGATACTAGTCAGAATCTAGAAAATTCATCATAAGTTTCCGTCTTATTAAATTTATATATATCCACACGGAATTCGGTCTGTTGACGTCGATATTTTCCGTTTACTGCGCCTTTTATCCGGTTCATCAACACTCAATTGAAAACGTTTCCTGGTACCGATAGTAGTGTGAATTTTCTGTAGTTCACACATTCGCTCAGATCTCCTTTCTTTGGTATCTTCGTGAGCTAACCTTCCTTCCAGTCTGTCGGTGGCACTTGTTCTTCCTCCTAAATCTTCTTAAACACAACATGGGGCATCTTTGCAGTTACTTCTATGTCTGACTTTAGTGCTTCAGCTGGTATGTTGTCAGGTTCTGCTGCTTTCCCGGTCTTGAGTTGTCTGACATCTATTGTGATTTCTTCGATCGTTGGTGGAGTGACAGCTATTGAAAAGTTTGTGTGTGCTGCTTCGCTACCCAGTGGATTTAATGGGACTGGTTTATTCAAGAGTTCCTCAGGGTGTTCTACCCATCTGTTCCGCTGATCTTGAAATTCAGTGAATGGCTCGCATTGTTTTTCCCTACCAGTTTCTTCATTATATCATATAGATATCTCGTATTTCCTTCTCTTGCAGTTTTTTTTCGCTGTCGTTGCTAGTTCTTCTACATATTTCTGCTTGTCGTCTCTAATGCTCTTCTTCATTTGCCTGTTTGCTTCTGTGTACGCAGATTTTACCTTAACTTTCTCTGCTCTTATTCGACTGTTGCTAATTGCTGTCTTCTTGTTCTAATTTTCTTTGATCCTGTCCAGTGTTTCTCTAGAGATCTATTCCTTATGATGATGCTTCTTGAAGCCCAGAACCTCTTGACACTTTGAAGTTAATGCTTCTTTGATACCTTTCCAGTTGTCCTCCATAGTTGTTTCTTCTTCCTTCAGTAGATCCTGTAAGGCTTGGAACCTGTTGTTGAGAGTTATCGTGAATTCTTTGAATTTGTCAGTATGTCGAAGAAAGGCTGTATTGAACCTTTGTACTCCTATTTTCCCAGCAGTCCAATGTTTCTTTAGCTTCAGTTTCGTTTTGACAACCATCAGGTAGATGATGATCTGAAGCTATGTCAGCTGCTCTCCTGGTTATTATATCTTTCGTTGATCTTCTAATTTTTTTAATGTTGCAAATATGATTGTTTCTGTGCAATGTAATGTGATGAGAACTATGTAGTTTTGTGAATGCATTTGTGTAGGAATGTTATTTTTTTTTCTTTTTCTACTTTATGTTTATTTGAGTAGTAAATGTTTAGTGAATTTACTTTCATTGATTGATTCCTGTCATTATTTTGTCATAAAAATGCTTCTTATGAAGTTCACTTAATATCTATTTAGATCAAATTAACTTATATAAGTTGATGGACAATATAAATTAGTAACTTATTTGTTAAGGTCAATGTTTTCCATTCATTGACACATGTCAATGTGTTTTCTATGTGACTAAATGACAAAATTTAAACAATCTACTCAATATGCAGATATACTAATTAAGATCATTTATTTGAACTGTTGAATGTCAACAATAGGGAAGAATAAATCTTTGCAAATAAGATCATACATTGTTGAACACGTTACAATAAATGTTAAATCGTTAATTTATCGTAATGAATTTGTCTGAAACGAATGATTCTGTTTTCTTTAATAAATATACTTTGCAGAATCAGTCTTAATTATCTATTTGTAATGAACAAATATTGAGTTGACCTAAAGATTGGATTCATGAGTAGTAGTAGGGCGGCCTGCTTGATCATCTCGTCTACCTGTTCCTGCCATCTAGATATTTCATCAAGTTATCTAGTATTGTTTGTTTTAATATATCATTATGTTTATTAATCGCATAACCTATTCTGCTACGTTTCTGAAAAGTGTGCAACCTTTCGTTGTCAAAGTTACAAACAACTCAATAAGAACCAATGTGGTTGCTGGCAATATACAACGAAAAGAATGCACATTATTCAGATGTTCATTTAGTGAACTGCTAACATCTAACTGGCGATCACTCAATATTTATCGCCAGGACCGGCCAAGAAGAAAGGAACGGAAACTTGTTGAAATACTTTACGCTGAGAATTCTATATTGTACCAAAAATATAATATTGAATAAAGCTAATGATAATAATAAATAAATAATAATAATAAATAATAAATGTTTCATTTAGGATGCGAATGATCATAGTAATCGTTAACTCTCATAGCAACTGACAAAAGTTGTAAATAAGCAAAAACATTTTAATCATCTAATTACATTCACTAAATGTATTGTTATTATTCATATTACGTAACCTAGTATTATAATCTTTTTTATTACGTCATCTTGGTTACTCTTTATTCACATTTCCTCATAGAATTAATACTTTAACAAAAGAATTTTTTCATATCTATATACGATTGTAAAGCTTGATAATAAATTCGTTGAAAACAGATCCCTTAGCTGAACTTCGTTTTTTTAATTTTTAATGTTTAATAGTTGAAATCATGAGTCAATTGAAGCTAGACCACCATACAAAACCTGGAATCATTGAACGGTCGTTTCATCCTATTGTGGGACTCTTCAGCAGTCCTGGGTCCAAATCCCATGAGGCGGAGTCTTGGATATGAACTGCTGAGGAGTTCCATACTAGGACAAAGCAGCCGTCCAGTGCTTCCAGGTTTTGCATGGTGGTCTAGCTTCCGTTGACTCATGATCTCAACTATTGAAATTACTACAATCTCCACAAACCCCCTTGTGATTTTAATGTTTAAATGGGAATTATCTGTCGAATAAGCAACTAACATTATACTTTTAACTTTGATTAAATTATAAAGAACTAAAAATTTTTGGATTAAGTGGGAGACATAGTTTTGTAGGTCTTAAAAAATGGTTAAAATTATTAGTTAAACATCAATAATGTAAATTTTTGGAGATAAATGGACTTGAATGTATTTGACCTGATTGATAATCTTCCAAATGTATTCACAAAGGAAATGTTAAACGATTAACAAGATTCTAGGATTCGTAATCAAATCGCTCTTGATTGAAGATCAAGAACAAAGAAGTTGAAAAAACTGTTCATTTCAAACAAGTCTTTGAGTGTACCTATCAAAATAGAAAATGGTTGCAAAGAAGAACTTTATTTCATGAGTTCGATCCTTGAATGAGTCGTTAGTGAAAATTATTGAGAAGTTCCATTGTAAGAAACTAACAAATGTCTAGTATTTCATGGTTTTCATTAAAGTTT